CACTGCCCCCATTAACAAGTAACCCCCCCATAGTACAGTTACTATCACTGCCCCCATTAACAGGTAACCCCCCCATACTACAGTAACTATCAATGCCCCCTATTAACAAGTAAGCCCCCCATAGTACAGTTACTATCACTGCCCCCATTAACAGGTAACCCCCCCATACTACAGTAACTATCAATGCCCCCTATTAACAAGTAAGCCCCCCATACTACAGTAACTATCACTGCCCCCTATTAACAAGTAAGCCCCCCATACTACAGTTACCATCACTGCCCCCCATTAACAGGTAACCCCCCCATAGTACAGTTACTATCACTGCCCCCCATTAATAAGTAGCCCACCCAATAATACAGTTACTATCACTGCCCCCCATTAATAGGTAACCTCTACATTATAGAGTTACTGTCACTGCCCCCATTAACATGCAATCCCCCCAATAATACAGTTAGAGCCATATAATATCACGGAATAGGCGAGAGCTGTATTATCTCACAGAGCAGGTGAGAGCTGTAAAATCTCACGGAATATGCGAGAGCTGTATAATCTCACGGAGCAGGTGTGAGCTGTATAATGTCACGGAATAGGCGAGAGCTGTATTATCTCACGGAGCAGGTTAGAGCTGTATAGTCTCACGGAATAGGTGAGAGCTGTAAAATCTCATGGAATATGCGAGAGCTGTATAATCTCACGGAATAGGCGAGAGCTGTATTATCTCAAGAAGCAGGTGAGAGCTGTATAATCTCACGGAATAGGCGAGAGCTGTATAATCTCACGGAATAGGCGAGAGCTGTATAATCTCACAGAGCAGGTAAGAGCTGTATAATCTCACGGAATAGGCGAGAGCTGTATAATCTCACAGAGCAGGTGAGAGCTGTATAATCTCACGGAATAGGCGAGAGCTATAAAATCTCACAGAGCAGGTAGAGCTGTATAATCTCACGGAATAGGCGAGAGCTGTAAAATCTCACAGAGCAGGTGAGAGCTGTATAATCTCACGGAATAGGCGAGAGCTGTAAAATCTCACAGAGCAGGTAAGAGCTGTATAATCTCACGGAATAGGCGAGAGCTGTAAAATCTCACAGAGCAGGTGAGAGCTGTATAATATCACGGAATAGGCGAGAGCTGTAAAATCTCACAGAGCAGGTGAGAGCTGTATAATGTCACGGAATAGGCGAGAGCTGTAAAATCTCACAGAGCAGGTAAGAGCTGTATAATATCACGGAATAGGCGAGAGCTGTAAAATCTCACAGAGCAGGTGAGAGCTGTATAATGTCACGGAATAGGCGAGAGCTGTAAAATCTCACAGAGCAGGTGAGAGCTGTATAATATCACGGAATAGGCGAGAGCTGTAAAATCTCACAGAGCAGGTGAGAGCTGTATAATATCACGGAATAGGCGAGAGCTGTAAAATCTCACAGAGCAGGTGACAGACAAGGAATCTCACAATAAGCAGTCAGTCATATAACGTTTTACTAATTTAGATATCTATTGCCCCACCGTCTAGTTTAGTCCTGTGATAATTAAAATCACAAACTGTTAGACATTTCCCTCTGGATTGATGTGAATTTTAAAATCATACAAACCTTTCCTTTAAGATCCGTCGGTAGAGTAAATTTTGCTAAAACAGTCTTTGATTCTATACAGAATAACTGAGTCTTTTTATAAATATTTGTGTTAAAATTCTTTCAAAAATAAAGCACAGTACGAGAACATATATATATTCGATTAGGCCAGATCCAGAACTTTTCCTGCTGTTGCAGTTTGGAGAGTTACTTTATTAGCAGTTTGTTATCCCTCTAATCAGATTTAGAAACCGTAAGAGAAGTTACTCTCTCTGCTGTGTGTATTTACAGGCAGAGAGCTTTGCTGCGGCTGGGAGAGATGGATGTGGGATTGAGACCTCGAGCTCTGGAAAGTGAGTATCTCCAATCATTCTCTAACCAGATTGACAAAACCACAATCTTACTATGAAGTCTTTAAATCGCAGTTTTGCCATCATAGAAACATAGAAACATAGAATGTGACGGCAGATAAGAACCATTCGGCCCATCTAGTCTGCCCAATTTTCTAAATACTTTCATTAGTCCCTAGTCTTATCTTATAGTTAGGATAGCCTTATGCCTATCCCACGCATGCTTAAACTCCTTTACTGTGTTAACCTCTACCACTTCAGCTGGAAGGCTATTCCATGCATCCACTACCCTCTCAGTAAAGTAATACTTCCTGATATTATTTTTAAACCTTTGTCTCTCTAATTTAAGACTATGTCCTCTTGTTGTGGTAGTTTTTCTTCTTTTAAATATAGTCTCCTCCTTTACTGTGTTGATTCCCTTTATATATTTAAATGTTTCTATCATATCCCCCCTGTCTCGTCTTTCCTCCAAGCTATACATGTTAAGATCCTTTAACTTTTCCTGATAAGTTTTATCCCGCAATCCATGAACCAGTTTAGTAGCCCTTCTCTAAACCCTCTCTAAGGTATCAATATCCTTCTGAATAGCTCCTCCTTCAGATGGCTATCCTAATGTTCCGTTCCCTCTCCTCCTTCAGATGGCTATCCTAATGTTCCGTTCCCTCTCCTCCTTCAGATGGCTATCCTAATGTTCCGTTCCCTCTCCTCCTTCAGATGGCTATCCTAATGTTCCGTTCCCTCTCCTCCTTCAGATGGCTATCCTAATGTTCCGTTCCCTCTCCTCCTTCAGATGGCTATCCTAATGTTCCGTTCCCTCTCCTCCTTCAGATGGCTATCCTAATGTTCCGTTCCCTCTCCACCTTCAGATGGCTATCCTAATGTTCCGTTCCCTCTCCACCTTCAGATGGCTATCCTAATCTTCGGTTCCCTCTCCTCCTTCAGATGGCTTTCCCTCTGTTCAGTTCTCTCTGTAATGTTCTGTCTTTCAGATGGGTTCCTCCCTTGTGTTGTACGGCCTTTGCAACATGGCATCATACCATTCATTAATCTACCTTTGAAAAAGGTCTCAATTTTTCCTTTCACAACAGCGCTGGATCCCCCTGCGAAGCCTTATCTAACGGGCTCTTTGAAGCAAGACATTCACAGATACTTCATAGTGCAGAGATCATATGCAAATAGTCACTTGTGAATTATATCTAAATTTATTTATGCAGCTATAATAATATGACTTTGTTGATTTGTTCAGAGAAGCACTAAGTCAATCTCAATATTACATTTTGTGTGGCCCATACAAAGATCTTATTTCTTGTAGACCTACATATTAAAATTGATGTGCAACAAATACTAAATACATACTTACAATTACATTAAAAATTCCCTTGATGAAAGTACACAAATTGCATTGAAGTGCTGAATTAAAAGTGCAAATGTTGTAGTGTCTGCTTCTACCTTTAGGGAGAGTCAGAACTCCTACTACAGAAATAAGAGGTATAAAGGATTGCGATACCCGATTTTCACTGCAAGGGTGAAGCAAACCTCCCTCCTCGATCATTAAAATGCAACCAAATAAAAGTAATATATATTTTTCAATTTCATTAATTACTGCCTTATATATAAAGGAAATCTCCAAATAAAACCACCCTCTACAAGTATCCCAAAGGGGATCTCATTCTACAAAGACATATTGTTCCAGCGGTTATCTCAATCTTTTTTCAAATGAATTTCTTCATTATACAAACACGAGAAAAAAAACTTCACCCAAAATCAATGATAGACAAAAAAGATAGGGCACAACAATAAGAGCGAGAAAGGCACAAGTACGAAAACCTTTTTTAACCTTTGTCAATTAAGCAGATTAAACAAAAAAATACAAGCCACTCTTCGCCGCATACAAACCACTGTCCAAGGAACTCCTGTTTTTTGGTTTTCTTTTAACTCCTACTTGAAAGAGTCTACTTGCCAGAATTTGCTTTCAAGCAAATGTTCTTTGCTCATGCTACAGTATTAGAGTGTTGCCGTGGCTTGCAACACTATAAAACATTCCACGGCACCGGCTGGAAGGAACGGTCTACAGCCAATTAGGGTGCAGACAACAAGTGTCTCCATCTGGACCACCAAGCATCAGGATTTCTCACTCCCTGGTCAAAGGTAAGTCTCAGGGATAGGGGAATAAACTTTATTTTATTTTTGCGGTAGAATAGAATTGCCACCAGGCTAAAGTTCAGACCGGCCGTAGCACCAGTTTCCATGGAACTGTTTTAGGCTTGCACCTCGTGGCTGGACGGTCAGAATACCCGGTGGCGATTCTATTCTACCAAATGCATCTAAGCGCTATTTGGCCAAGTTGGGCGCCCAGATCAGTGCTATTCGGGGATATGACTCTTGTGGGGTTCCTGTTAATATAGGGGGTACTTTTGGGGCATTGCATGAATATTACGTATGTTTACCTGAAATAATTGAGTTATAGTTTTCTGACTCAATTATCTCCCAGTCACAGGGACGAAAAGGGCCTAGACACACCAGCAGTCATTTAGCCAGCTCCCGAACATAAGTCCAAGATCCCGTACCAGGCATTTAAAATGTTTGTAGAATCGGAAGAGGACATCAACGAATTCCTACAGGATTTCGAACTCCTATGTCACCTACACGACAAAACCCCCCACAGATTGGATCCCTCTCCTAGCGAGGAGATTGCCTGGGAGAGCCACAGATGTCTACAGAGCCGTTCCCAATGCAGACAATTATGCCTGAGTTAAGCAAGTATTGCAGGCCAGATATGCGATCACCTTGGAGGCATATTGCAGAAAATTCCGTGAATCAAGGAAAAGTGAAAAGGATTTGCACACCGAATGGGCCTGCCGTTTAACTAGGGCAGCCAGAGCCAGATTAAGAGCCCAGTGGGCCTGGTGCTGACAATTATGATGGGCCTAATTACAAAATCTTATCAACCAGAAACTAAAACAGTCCTACCTCCAAAGCGTCATGTATCTGATGGAGGTGGTGCTGGAGGGAAACTCATAGGATGCAGCTATGAGAAAACACATGCCCTATGCTAATCTCACGCTTTTATCATTCATGTAAATCCATACCCCCTAATAGCAGTGTCCAGTGAAGCAGAGAGTCAATGGGCGGGGTAAAAGGGTGTGCCACTGACGCGAATCACGTAACCATAACTGCCGAAAGGGACAAACATACCCAAAGAGGGGGGAAGTCTGCCCAAAGAATTTGAAGGACAGCCTGGAATGAATGCATGTCAGGCTGCCTGCCAATCATGCAGGCTGGCCAACTAAGGGCATACTATGCAGAAAGCATCCTGAGCTTCACATAAATGCGTCAAATGATGCGCTTACTCCACGCTTTCAAAGGACTGTCCCCTAGCACTCACATGTCCACTTGTCTCCTTACCGTCTTACTAGCAGGCAGAAGGTCCTGGTATATAGTCTGGGACAGAGAAAAGCTGTATGTAGTGAGTGTAGAAGAATGGGAACATGCCACAGTGTTAGAGAGACCAAAGTCAGCATTACCCTAACTAATTTCATTGTCAGCCAGTCCACACAAGTTTTGTTCCTCTATATCCCTCTTACGTTTCCATACTTAAGCAAGAGTATGTGAAGAGTAGTAAGGGTTGCCACCTTTCTTGGAAAAATGTACCAGCCTTACTAATTTGCATAATACATTTTGTATAAGCCCCCTCCCCCCCAACCCTCATGGCCCCCCTCCCCGCCGGGCTCTAGGGGGAGGAAGGGTTTAAAATGTTACCTTTCTCCAGCTCCCTCGGCGCTGGGGACTCTCCTCCTCCTTACGAATGAATTGGCTGAATGCGCATGCAGTGAGAAGTGCCTCCAGCGGCTGTCAATGAGACAGACACTAGAGGCTGGATTAACCCATATGTAAACATAGCAGTTTCTCTGAAACTGCTATGTTTACAGCAGGCAGGGTTAACCCAAGATGGACCTGGCACCCAGACCACTTCATTAAGCTGAAGTGGTCTGGGTGCCTATAGTGGTCCTTTAATGATACAGCTGCTTCTTTTATACACATTTCCCCACAAGGTTACCACCCACATGGACCTTGTGGAACACAGGACACAAAATCAACACAGTATTGTACAGTTAGACACTCCAAGCTAATGTACACAAACCTTCCCCTCTGCCTGTGATACCATTACCAAACACAATGGACTAACTTAATTACCACGGGCACAAAATATCCAGTTTTACCCAAAGTCCAGAAACACCCCAAAACAACAACATATCCCCATAAGTCCTACATCCCTGGATAGCCCTGATCTGGGTGAACAACATATCAAAAAAAAATCACCCAGATCCACAGATTTAGGCTGTGCGGCCAGTCTTTCTTCTCTTCTATCCTGGAGATAATTGGCTTAAGTGGCTGTGGTAACTTCATTATCTCCAGGTACGGGAAATATCTCTAAATCAAAAACTGTTACAAAAACCACATAAAAATACATAACTCTTATAATACAATGTTTAACCTATATGTCCAACATATCCCCAGATAGCTTGGATCTGAGCGCTCAATAGGTACAATGTTAAAAGTGCCCTATAGTACAAGGAAGGGTGAGGTCAGAAAATAGCAAGGGCTGATGGGAGATTGAGAAGGGACAAAGCAGCCAGTTTAAACTGGTCTGGCAGTGTCCCTGGGACAATGCCCTGCTGGAGAACAATAGGATAGGAAAAAGGGGGGAGGGGAAGAGGCACATTTTCCAATGGATTCAAAGGGGCAGAAAAAGTGTTCCAAAAGCCAATAAGCCCAAATAGTGTTTTTAAATGGTAATACCTCCCAAGGGCCATAGTCACAGGGCAAGAGGCTGGCAAGCAGGCCTCTCCAAAAGCTCATGGCAAACTCCCTAAAAAAGGGGAGTTTCTCACAGGGGACTTAGCCGCAAATGCCCTGGAACTATTTTTGGCTATGGGACCATGCCTGCGGTCGGTAAAAACTATGACTTCCAGGAAATTCCTGAACCTCTGAACTGATCTGGGTGATTTTCGCATATGTTGGTCATCCAGATCAGGGGATGTAATTTGGGGGATTTTATGTGTTTTGGGGTACTTTTAGGGTTTTATAAAATATGTGTATTTTTCTGCCTGGAGATAATTGAATTGATACAGTATCTGACTCAATTATCTCCCAGGCAGAGAGGAGGAATTGTATGTTTGTTATGGGAGTGTCATGCATTTAATCACTGTTCTTATTGGTCTGTGTCTTTGTGTTGGAGTCCCCAACAAGGTCCATGTGGGTGTTCCCCTTGCATGGGGATTGTCATAAAAGGCCAGTGTGGCACCATTAAAATTCAGTCTTACTTCACCCTCAACATAGAGCCTCGTGTTTGTAGGGACCCGCTATACAAGCTATAACCACTAGCTCTTGTAGGAGCTTCACAGCTATACTGTCTTGGAGGAGAGGTTCAGCCACTGGAAGCTGGATCCTGGTCTTGGGTCCAGGGTGGATGGAGGACGGCGAGACCCAAACACAGCTGCGGCTGTTCGTGGAGTCTACAGTACTTATGGTGTCATTGCTTGGAGTCCTCTGGGAGCAATGATTGACAGAGGCACCCAGTCGGGGTGGCAGGTGGTCCGTCTCCCAATGTCACTCAGTGTCCACTAATATCCCTGTGTCTGAGTGTCCCCAGGTCTCCAGTGTACCCTATGTATCACATAGTGTCTCAGTTCCCAGTGTCTCAGTTCCCAATGTCTTCTAGTGTTCCCTCGTGTCTCAAAGTTGCCCAGTGGCCCCATGTCTCCCAGCGTTCCTTAGTGTCTGTGTCCCTATGTCTCCCAGTATCCCCATGTCACTAGGGGACACAGAGACATTGGGATACTGGGAGACACTGGGGAAAACATGGGGACACTGGGTGACTTTGAGACATGAGGGGACACATGGGGCACTGAGACAATAAGGACACTGAGAGACCCCAGGGACACTGGGAGACATGGCGCACTGAGACACTGTGATACATAGGGGACGTTGGAGACTTGATAAAGACCTGGGTACAGGTTGAAACATTGTGGTTTCCAATAAACCTGCTTAAATATATCACAGTGAGTGTCTGGGAATTTTTCTTTTATACCAGAGGACACTGGGACACTAGGAAACACTGAGACACTAGGGACACTGGCATACTACAGACACTGAGAGACCCCAGGGACACTGGGAGACATGGCGCACTGAGACACTGTGATACATAGGGGACGTTGGAGACTTGATAAAGACCTGGGTACAGGTTGAAACATTGTGGTGTCCAATAAACTGGCTTAAATATATCACAGTGAGTGTCTGGGAATTTTTCTTTTATACCAGAGGACACTGGGACACTAGGAAACACTGAGACACTAGGGACACTGGCATACTACAGACACTGAGAGACACCAGGGACACTGGGAGACATAGGGACATTGAGATTTTAGGGACACTGGCTGGGAGACATGGGGACACTGGGAGTCTCCCCTAGTGTCTTAGTGTCCCCAGGTCTCTCAGTGCCCCCTAGTGTTTCAGTGTTCCCAAGTGTCCCTATGTCTCCCAGTGTCCCCATGTCTCTCAGTGTCCCCATGTCTCCCTGCAGCCTTTCCCCCATCCCTCACTTAACTGAGCTGTAGGCTGTCTCTGCAGGCTCGGAGCTGCTATCTGGACACTTTATGCAGAGCTGCTCAACTGCGGATTAGTGAGTAGAGAGAGAGGCAGGGAGGGAGATGCTGTAACTTCTTATCCCTGCCTCTCTCCACACACACAGCGACCCCTACTGGCCGACACTGGTATTGCAAAATAATCTCTGTTTATACTGAGACTGACATTTGTATTGCGGTTGTAACGGACTATTTCAGCACACAAGGGGTTAAAAACGTTTAGGCGATCGTCCCCTTTCAGAGATGCAGGCACAGCTACTGTAGAACACCAAACTCCCGAACCGCAAATAAGGGAATGCTCCAATCTCCCGAACTGCATACACTATAACACTCCAAACTCACGAACTGGAACCATACGAATAGCTCCTAGCAGACGAATAGGAAAAGCATCCAAGCGGCTTACACTCCTAGCAATCAGTCTCTATCAGCATTCAGTAAATCCCCCCAAAGACGAGACAAGGCTCCATGTTGTCGGTCAAGCAGTGGTCTCTTTAATGAGGGCTACCTGCCCAGTATTTATGCAGGTCTCCCACCTGGTGGACACTCCCCTAGGGGACCAAATGGGAGACTGTGACAAAAGACAGACAATCAGCAAAATAGGACACACAGTCACATTATATTCCCACAATGCATCCTGGCTTCCACCCCTCTGCCCTGGAGATAATTGAGAAGTAATTCAATTATCTCCCAGGACAAAGACAAATCGCCATCATGCACGAGGGGATACTAAAATAAGAATTACTATTAAAATACACTATGTTGGAACGGTTACAGTAAAGACATACATTTAACATGTCCCCAGATAGGGGACATTATTAAGCGCACATTATTAAGCGAATGGCGCTCAGACCACACGAATACAGTTTAATCGCCATGGAGCCAAAGTCTTCACAAAGTCAGTTCTCATACGAATGAGCTCCATGGGATTCCTATCTGGGGTATAGTGCAGTCAGGTACAACTACCGAATACCGGGCCGTTCGTGCACTTCCACCGAACAAGAAGGGAGGTTGGCGGCTTCAGCGGTGTTCGAGCCAAACTGTGTCCGTTTTTAGTTCCATTAGTTAGGCGTCGAACAACGCTGTGCGTTCGCGTGTTTAAAATGGCTGCGACCTCGTGTTCGGTATACGAATGGCAGCCACCCAGTATCCGTCAATTAAGCTGCAGTTAACCGCAGCTTCTGGGAGGCTAATTGCCGGCACACTCCAGCTCCCAGGTGGTCTAGTCATTCGTATGGTTGCTCGGTAGATTGAATCTACCGAACACCGGACAGAAAAGCACGAATAAGTCTTTTCTGCAGGGGAAATAAAGTCTTTTAACATGGGGCCATAATCCAAAGGCAGCAGGCGAGCAACCAGGCTTCTCCAATGCAATGTGGTGAGGTTGCTGTCGTCACACCGGTATTACTGCAATACCGGCAGCCTCAAATACCGGAGAAATACCGGCTAGGTGGCAAACCTAAGAGAAGTGTGTTTTAAAAAAAATAAATAACTGTTTTTCTTTTTTTTTTTTATCAATGGGCCTATTCCATGGGCATGGGCCTGCAGCTCCATCAGCCCCTATGTTAATCCGGGTCTGAGGGCAGCCCTCAACAAGCACAACAGGCGAAGACCCCAGAGGAGATATTACAAGTTGTCTTGCTCAAACAATTTTACAATGGACTCTCCTCCAATGTACAAGAAGGGGTGAGGGACCGACAACCCTTACCTCTAAATGAAGCTGCTCAGCAGGCAGATGAATACCTGGATGCCCAGAGATCACAGCGACCCAACTACCGACCTCCACTATGCCCTGCCCAACCCTATGTTCCTGCCCCAGCACCACTACCACAGACCCAATCGACCCCAGTAGCACCACAGGGGGCTCCAAACCGAGCCAACAGTGCTTCCGCTACAGGCACATAGTGGGGACGACCAGGACCACCATCAGCACTCAGGGAAGCCGCCCATTGTAGTCATGTAGACGTCCCACCTGCCCAACCCATCACAGAAGAAGCCTGGGGTTTCCGATATGAAGCAGACCCAGTACAAACTGCAGTGGATAACCGACGTCACCATAGGCAGTCCGTAAAGCTGAATGGGAGATGTTAAGACACCTCCAGTGTCTTTAGGCAAAACCGCCGTTTAGTAAACCTTCCCCGGCTGCAGTACAGTCTCCGTTCGCTTACTCTGTGACACACGAACCAAATGCAGGGGAAGCGGCAATCTCCCGATCGAAATCCACGAACGGCTCCAAACTCCCGAACGGCAATACACGAACTGCTGGTAACCGTCGAACAGTAATATTCCCCAAGCGGCTTTCGTTCCATCCAGCAGTCTCTAAACGTGAAGAAGAAATCCCCCCAATAACGAGACAGAAGCTCCGCATTGAGGGTCAAACAGAATCTGGTTTTACTGTGGGCTACCTGCCCGTATTTATGCAGGTCTCCCACCTGGTGGACACTCCCCTAGGGGACCAAATGGGAGACTTAAACTACAGACAGATAGAGGGACATTTCAGACACACAGTCACATATTTTACCCACAGTGCATTATGATTCCCTCCCCTCTGCCCTGGAGTTAATTACCAAGTAACTCAATTAACTCCAGGACAAGGACAGTCGCCATCTTAGACATAAAATAATAAAAGACATAAAATTACATAACTACATGAAAACTGAACATTTCCCGTTAGTATTACATGTCCCCAGATAGCCTGGATCTGAGTGCATATTATTAGCGAATAGCGCTCAGATCCCACACACATAGTTCAATCGCCATGGAGTCAAAGTTCTTACAGTCTTTCGGTATACGAATGACTCCATGGGAAGGCTATCTGGGTTAAGTCTTTTGTATGCTCTCAATCTCCCGAACGGCCGGTGTTCGCATGCTTTCGTGGAGGCAGCCAGGCGTTCCCTTGTTTCAGCGGTGTTCGGCAGAAAAAGTGTCCGTTTTCAGTTCCATAGAAATAGAGCCAAACACCGCTGGGCGTTCGTGTGATTTAAAATGGCCGCTGCCTCGTGGTCGACATACGAACGACGACCACCCTGAATTCGGTTTAATTGAGAAGCGTCTGCGGTTAACCACAACGTTCTAATTGGGATCACTTTGTTAACCAGCAGCACACTCCTCACTTGGGTGGCCGTTCGTTCGGCAGATTTGTTCGGGAAAAAGAGTCATTCGAATGGCTGGGCTATAGAAACCAGCCATTCATACGAACGGGGGACAAACAGACGAACGGGGTAAAAATCCAGCAGACAGATGGTTCTGTCACAGGAGAACTATACAAGGCTTACGGGACACAGGCACCACACTAATGCTGGTCCAACATAAACTAGTCACGGAAACAGAAGAGACCAGAGGAACTGTAGACCATCTACCGACCGCCAAGGTGCACTTAGACTGGGGTGCTGGGAATGGAATGATCAAGGTGGGACTTATGAACCACCTACCTTCAGAAGTTCTACTGGGCCAGTTAACCTCCACCTTTGTCCCCTAAGCAGACATCGAGGAACTATACCCAGTCACTACCCGGTAACGCACTCCGAGGCTCAGGTAGGAACATGTCCACGTCAGCTTGTCCTAGCCCCCTTCCCTGGAAAACCCCAGCAGAGTTTGAAAACACAAAACATTTTGTTAACAAGCGTCTGTGTGGACAAGAAAACGTTTGTTAGGTACTGGGGCAGCCAAGACAGGGGCATTAACAAGTGCTTGCTTCAATGCTTTAAATGCGGCTTCACAAGCTGGAGACCACAGGACCTGCTTAGGTAAATTCTTCTTAGTCAGGTCCGTCAGGGGTTTGACGATAGCGCTATAGTCGGGGACAAAATGTTTATAGTACCCTGCAGTCCCCAAGAAGGCTAATGTCTGGGTCATAGTGAAGGGTGTGGGTAGCTACTGCCTCTACCTTGACTGGCTCTGGTCTCTGGCTCCCACATCCCACTCTGTGTCCCAGGTACTGTACCTCAGCCATACCTAGATGGCACTTATCTGGCTTCAAGGTCAGGCCTGCGGCTCGAATCTTGTCCAGAACCACCCCTACATGAACCAAGTGCTCTTCCCAAGATCGCGATGTCATCCAGGTATGCACAAGCAAAATCCTGGAAGCCATCGAGATGCCTATCCACCATATGCTGGAAGGTAGCTGGGGCATTTTTCATCCCGAATGGCATGACCCTAAATTGGTACAGGCCAAACGGGGTGACAAATGCCGACTTGGGGATAGCATCCTCGGCCAATAGCCTTTACATAGGTCTATGGTAGTGAGATAGCATCCACTGGCTATGCGATCTAGCAGTTCTTCTACCCTGGGCATCGGGTAGGCGTCAGTGGTGGTCTTCTCGTTGAGCCGCCTGTAGTCCACGCAGAACCGGGTGGTCCCATTCTTAGGCACCAGGACTTCAGACGAGGCCCAAGGGCTGTCAGAGGGCTCAATGACTCATAACTAAGTCATCTCCTGTATTTCCTTCCGCATTCCTTCTCAGACTCGTAAGGGGGCTGTTGCAGGGGTGTCTGTCCAGGGGTCTCTACCCTGTGCACTGCTAGGGTCGTATAGCCTGGTTCTTGGGAGAAAGTCGCCTGTTTCTCCCACAGAAGCCTCTTAGCCTGTCCCATCTTGGTGTGGCTTAACCGGTCCCCTAGCTGTACAAGGCTAGTAAGGTCAGTCTGTGGGTCTCTTTCTAGTAAATCAGGGAGGGGTAAGCTTTCTGAGTCGTCTGCAGCAGAGGCAAACACTGCAGCGACATCCTCCTGTCTTTCTTGGTACTCCTTCAGCATGTTCACATGAAAGGATTGCTAGATCCTTTCATCTGTACAGCTGGCAATGACATAAGTAGTATCACATACCTGGGCTACTACTTTGTATGGGCTTTGCCAAGATGCTTGCATCTGGTCAGTCTTCATCGGCTTGAGCACTAAGACCTTCTGCCCAACCTGGAAGATACGCTGTCGGGCACCCCGATCGTACCATCTCTTCTGTCTCCCCTGGGCCGCCTGGAGGTTCTCTCTCACCATCAGAGACAGTTGCTCCATGCAGTCCCTGAGTTCCAGAACATATGGCACTATGGGGGTCCCCTCATGCTCTGTCCAGGGGTCCTCTGACCCTTCTCCCATAGAGTAACTCGAAGGGAGAGAACCCAGTAGATTCCTGGGGTACCTGTCTGTATGCAAACAACAGATGAGGCAGGAATCTCTCCCAGTCTCTGCAGGTGTCCGTAAAGGTCCTCAGCATTTGCTTGAGGGTCCCATTAAAGCGCCCACAGAGACAGTTAGTTAGTCTGGGGGTGGTAAGGTAAGCTAAGCAAGGGCTTAATGTTGCACACCTCCCACTGCTGGGTGAGTACAGCGGTAAACTGGGTTCCCTGATCAGAGAGAATCTCCTTAGGGAACCCCAATGTGGTGAAGATCTTAACCAGGGCATCAGCTACTGTCTCCGCTTCAATATTGGACAGAGCTACTGCCTCTGGGTAACGGGTAGCGTAGTCCACCACGGTAAGAATATACCTCTTCCTGGATGGACTAGGTCTGGCCAGTGGACCCACGATGTCAACGGCTATACGGGAGAAGGGTTCCCCAATAATAGAATAATAGGCATGGACATAAGTCTGGCCTTAGGGTGGTCCCCCCTCTTACCTACCCGTTGACATGTGTCGCACATATTACAGTATTGTCGCACAGCCTGGTTAAAATTGAAGAAATTCTGTGTAATCCTATAGGCTGTACGACGGGACCCTAGATGTCCTGTGTAACGGATCACCTGGCACCCCGACTGGGTACCTCCATTGAAGGATGCTCCTAGCGCTTCCTGAGGGCTCCAAGCACTCTAGCCGACACCATAACCACCGTAGACTCCTCCAGAGAGCAAGGCAGGAACAAGCTCTTACAAGAGCTTAGGAGTGATTATAGCAAGGGAATATGCAGAGCATAGCAATCTCTTGTAGCACATTTCCCCAATAAGATACGGCACTCCAAATTGAGGGTGAAGTAGAACTGAGCTTTTAATCCAACGCTCTGCTTTTATGCCCATTTTACAAACATAGTACTGCCCACGGGGTTTTGAAGACCAACCAATCAATACATTACAACACAACTAAACACTCCCATTCGCACCAGCAGAAATCCTCCCCTCTGCCTGTGATACAATTATCTCAACACAATAGACAAATTAATTATCACAGGCAGGAAAATACACAGTTTTGCACAATATTCATAACTCCAAAAGTATACATCACATTCACATAAAACATTTTCAGAATCCGCATACTCCAAATACAAACATACTCAAAAATCAGACAATTCCTTCCATTGGTTTAAAAGTTAGGTCGAAGTCCTTTGTGACCACTGAAGCATGGCTTTCCAGACAAAACCAGTTCCACAGAGTCCTCTATCCTGCAGATAATTGGCTTAACTGGGTGTGGTAAGCCAACTATCTCCAGGTACAGAAAATGTCTCTATTCACAACAGCAAAAATACATAACTCCTATCATACTGAACAGAACCCCCACATTCAACCTATCCCCAGATGGCTTGGATCTGAGCGCTCAATATATCCAAACAGCGCTCAGGCCCTGG